CCCACCGCCTGCACGGTCACCGTCTGGGCCCATTGTGTCACCCCACGGGACTGGGGGGGTGCAGTGACCAATGCCACCATGTAATGACCCTGCCGTTCGCTGGGCTGCAGTCACGTGTCCTGCTGATTCGTAGAGTCTTGGCCAGAAGCGTGGGGTTCTCGCCGACCTACGTGTGTGCGTGCGTAGGCACGTCTTGGGGGTCTCCGTGTGTGTCCCCTGTGGCCATTTACTAAGGCACGTAGCTCAGTCTCGAAACAGTGACAGACATCAATTATCCGGGCACAGGCAACAAAGGAGCAAAGGGCGAGACGATTTCGGAGAATGCGTATCTGCCAGTCATAGTGAATGGTGCAGGGAAGGGTAAAGGGCCAGCCATTCAGGAGTGGCCGTTTGGGGGCGTTGGAGGAACCTGCGGGGAAAAGGGCGAGTGCTCAAAGAACCGAGTTACTACGGATCTGTTGGCAGCAGCCACTGTGGCACCACAAACACTAGGCTGCCTCTGAAAAAGGAGCCAGCGCAAAGGAGTGCAGAGTTAAGATGAACAGACCAAGCGCCGAGGACACCGTGCGAGCCCTGGATCCAACCGTTCCTGAAGCCGTGCACGATCCTGGACTCTGCACTTTGCTAGGCCCGTAAATTCCATTTTGGCCTAGTCCTGATTGACTTGAGCTTCTGTCTTACTGTGTTTAGTCCTTTCAAAAACCTAGTGAGTACAGTTTTACTTCACTTGTTTTCCAGACGGGAAACAGAGGCTCCGAGAGGGCCAGCGCCTTGATCAAGGCCGCACAGCAGCCGTCTGGAATCTATCCAAGTCGAAGCCCATGCGATTTCCACTACGCCCAGGTGGCAGTCCAGCATGGGGGTGACACCCTACAGTCAGGGGGTGGGGTATGGTCTTCCATGGCAGGTAGTGAAGAGGCTTCCTGGGAGAGGTGGCCCTGGCGGGATAATCAGAACCTGATCCAACCGGAAACCGGCCTCTAGAAAGGCAGCAGAAGAAAGGATCCGCAGGTTACAAACCGGTGGCTCGTTCTTGTTTTCTGAGGTTTTTTTTTCTTAATTTGTATTTTTGTTCCAGTTGCCAGCTCTGAAGAAACGGAAGATCTCCTGTAAAAACACGATGTTCAGCTTTGCTGGAAAATCAGAAGGACTGGCAACAGCAGGCAGGTGGTTCCACATGGCGAGAATTTGCCGGAGCTGGGTGGTGGGGGCCCTGCTCCGATGGGCTCCAATGCCTACTCTCCACGGCCCCAGCCGGCCGTGTTCCCTGCCCGGCCCGGCATCCGAGTTCACGGCCACGTGGCTGGGACCGCAGTGCTGGGCGGACGCTGTCCTCTGAGAACCCAGACTCGGGTGAGATGGGGCGCAGGGGTGGGCTCTCACCAGCCGCCCAGGCTCTGTCCACTCGGGCTGCTCCCAAGTCCCCCGTTCCTGGTACCTGGCAGGGGCTCAACACACACTTGCAGAGTGGAAGAAGCAAACGAGTGTGTGTGAGCCACCCAGCAACCCCACTCCGAGAGGCAGCGTGGTCTGGAAGTCGGGACGTGAGCTCTGGGGTGAGACGGCTCGGCATGAACTATTACCCACCGCTCACAAGTGTATCATTGTGGGGGGTGGGGAGTTACGTTCCCTTCTGTGCCTTCAGCTACCCCTCCGGAAGATGGGAATAATAATAGTCAAACAGGGTTTCGTGAGCGAAGGGGTAAGCTGTCCGCAAATAACCATTAGCCTGACCTCTTCCACCGGTGGACAGACTTTCGACAAATTCCTTCCCCCGGTCCGGGCCCCAGTTCATCCAAGGTGGTTAGGTTTGACTTTGTCAGGACCTGTCAGCTCTGGTATTCTGTCACTAGGAAAAGTCGGCATTTGGGCGAACTCCTGGAGCTCATCACAAACAGGCCCCCGGGGCCACCGGGGGCTCTCTGTTAACCACCTCTCTGCTGAGGTCCAAACAGACCTTCGATGGCCGTCACGGCAAGGTCACTCAACGCCAAATTCCTTTCCATTCAGCCCCAGCTCCAGCTCCGGGACCAGCTGGGGCTCCTTTACTCCAAATCATGATACCCCGAAGGTACAGGGACACGGCTGGAAGGAGCGAGCCCTCGGGGGCCCCTGGCGGGGTCCCCAGGGGTCCCGTCCTCACCCCTGCAAGCACGCAAGCAGAGGTCTCACCACAGGCGCTGCACTGCGGCTGGCGCTGGGGCATCCAGCTGGCAGAGCTGCTTCCATTTCTCTCACACGCCCCCGGATGGGAAATGATTCATGAAAACCAAGAAGGTAAAATTAGCCCAAAGGCTGCCGAGTAATTTATGCAGCCAACAGGGCCAGGAGGGAGGGAAGGCCCACGCTGCCAGCTCAGTGTGGCCTCCCAGGGGCTGGCAGAGGCCAGCCTGGCCATCAGGAGCCTCTGTCTCTGGGGTCTTCTATTTCTGGACTCAGCCTCCAGGGCCGTTGGCAGGCCTTCCGGAACCATCGCTGACCCCCGCCTCACCACACTCCACAGACCCACATGGCTGCCGCTGGGGACCTGCTAAGTGCCGGGGGCCTGCTGGGGAGAAGTTCAAGCATTTCATCCTGTCAACCCCAAGCCTTCCCAGGTGAGGAATGAATGTGCTGAGAGCTCAGGTAGGTGGCCAAAGGTCCGGGGCGAAGCCAGAATTCCAACCCCGATCTCATGAACTCCAAAAGCTGCACTTCC